CCGCCTGGGTGGCAGCGGCTTCCCTCCTTCACCCCGTCCTCGCCTCCACACGCAGCTGCAGCCGGAGGAAGACTGGAGACCGCGCAACTCGTGCAAACGGGAACTGAGAGAGGGGGCGAGGGATGGCTGCTGTGTGGGATCCCTAATTCCTCACCTCTCTCCCTCGGGCGCCCACGCACTTGGGGTCGGAGGGGGAGAGTGCGAGGGCTCGGGCCCGGGCGTCGGGCGGTGGAAGCGCGCCTTAGGGTGAAGTCGGTCGGAAGGGGCTTTGCCCTGCTGCAGGAGCAGGGAAGCGGAGGGCTGAAGAGGGCCTGATTGTTTCCTTTCCGACCCTGCATTTATCAGAAGAATCCTTTGCTGGTGTACTTCGTTGTTTTTAAACCTAAAAATAAACTTCCTTGAAACTCTCTTTTGACCCCCAAGCCACACTGTCATGTAACTACACTTCAAACCATTCATATTTTCCTACTTTATTTGGGGGAAAAGTTTTAAAAGTTACCTAAATTTTGCTGGAAGTAAGAAGACAGTAACCTGGAATCCCAATACACATGCTGCACATTGGGACTTGGTGTCTTTGGACTTCAAAGGAGTTTTGCCTTTTGTGGTGGTTTGGATGTGTTTTGTCCCCTTAAAGAGCTGTGTGCTGGAGCTAAGAAATGAAAATAATTAGGTTGAAGGTGGGGGGATGCGGCCCTGGGAAAGGGTTCAAGTAGGTTTGGTTGGATTTGGTTTGAGTCTGAGGCGTTTCCTGATGTTGCCCAGGCTGGCACAAGAATCCAGTTCTTGTGGATTCAATTGATCGCTCTGCCTCAGTCTCCCCAGTAGTAGGACAAAGTGCATCCTGATACCTGGAAGTACCCAGAGTGGAGTTCTTATAGGACCCTAATCAATTTTGTTATGGGATGGAGGGTCTCAGGGAAATTGCTTGCTTGGGAGGGTGGTTCTTGGTATCCTAAACAAAGATTTGAGCAGGACACTCAAAAGGGGTAACAAGAATAGGATTTATTTTAAAAGGCATAGCCCCTTTTAAATGGTAAACCACAGAAGTGAAGGTACAGGCCACAGGGTGGGAGCCAGCCAGTGAGAAGGGCTTGGGGCCTGGACAAGTCCAGGTATTGGTTCTGCGATTCTGGGAGGATCTGTAGCTGGGGATTGGTAGGAACCATGGCCCAAGTGGGTACCTGACTCTACCACCTCAGGAACGGCTAGTTTTTAACCTTGCAGGGTTTTTAAGGAAGATGTTCTAGCATCCAAAACCTACTATGGGGTGGTGGTAGTGTCAAAACTGCAAATGAGGTTAGACACAGGCAAGGGTCATGTACTTTTGGGTTTGTGTATACATGGGAGTCTTGTGTGGTATTGGTTTATGTATGTGGTTTTATGATATAACTGGTATGTGTTGGTTTTCTGATATTTCAACATTGCCATCCTAGCTCTGATTTCTTAATTCTTGCCCCATAGCATTCTCTTCTCTATCATCTTGCTGTACCTCCATCCTCAGTTCCTCCAACAGAAGTTGCTTGAGAGGAGGAGCCTGACCTCTGAATGTTTCTGGCTTCTTGGTATGCCATTTGAATTCTATGCACACTTCTGCCATTGTGAAGCCTTCTGTCATGAGGCTCTAACCAGAAGATAAATCAATGGGGCTACTCAATCCCGGACTTACAGCTTCCAAAACTGTAAGCTAAAAAATCTTCTTTTTAAAATAAAGTACCTTTCCTTAGGTATTTTGTTGGAGCAACATTAAATAGACTGATACACCCCCCCCAACATACACACAGATCAGGCATTTGCTTTTTAAAAACATGTGCTTCATCTGTAAAAACTAAGAAATAGGAAGTTTCATAGCACTGTAGTGCCAGTCACACTTCAAATTTGTAGAGTCCTTTATGAACTGTTTGTAAGATTCAGAATTGAGCTTGAGTACCAGTAACATCAATTGTTCCATTTTTCATAGACTGCTAAAATAATTTCATTTTGTTAGCCTCTGTGCACCTTTGAAAATTGTTAGGCTAAATGCAGTCATTTCTCAAGTGGAGTCACAAACACTTAAGTGGAGTTGAGAAGCCATGGGTGGGGCACTACTGACTTCATGGATGCCTGCTTCAAGAACTACCTCCTAAAACCAACTGGACGGAATGCCCTGACAGACTGTCACGACTGACTTTATTTAGCAGTTGATGATGGAACACTCCACGTGTTTGTAAAGGTTTCACCTAGTAATTTCAGCCATTCATCAAAAAATCATGCTCTTGTATAATGCTATCTATGCTACTGAGCTTTATTTCAGATCACCTCAGGTAACTTTGTCACAAATAAAAGTTCCATTATTACAGATTTGTCTTTACATTTTCAGTTGGTTATGTATTAAATGATGTCAGAAGTGGGGTCCAAAGCAGAATCACCTCAGAAATTAACTGCTGACAGGATTACTGCATGCAGTACCCACATCTGCCCCTTGAAGAGCCTTCCTTCCTGGGTCTCCTTTCCTCACCTGGGTCTCTCTCAGAACCTCCAACTCCACTGAGCCAAGTCCTGCACTGTTATTTGCACATATTTCATGAAGTCTTCCCATCTTGTTTATGAGGAAGCTTTCCCATCCTTCCTAGTAAGTGTCTATGCACTTTTTTTCCTTTTGTGTGTGTGCACTCATGTTTTGTTTTGTTCAATCTCTGTTTTTGTATATTCACTTTTAAATCAAATGTCCTAGATAAATTTGTTTACATTACGAACTTTCAGTAATTCAAGGTCATGACAGTCCTAGACTGTAGCTGATGATATGTTCAAACACTTTAGGATTCCTTAAGGCTCTCCACACTTACTTATTTAAATATAAAGGCGATCATTATAAAATAAAACAATTTGGGTGGGATATGTATCTCAGTTGGCATTCGTTGCCTTAAAATGCATTCTGGACACAGACAAGTAAAGCTGAAACTCCTTCTTCTCTCTTCAGAGACTTGCCCTCACCTGCCTATAGATTCTCAGCTGTTAACACAGTTATTCTCTCCACAGTCACCTTTAAAAATAAAACTTCTAGAGAAATTCCAGGAACTTGGAAGAAATGGAAAAGTTAAAGCTTGCTACTTTGACATATTGGCTGGTCAAGTGAAGACACTTGAAAAATAGTTTTTGCTATTTCTTAAAGCAAAAGAATCATCATGAGAAAGACAGGTTCCTATAGTGAAAGAAACGCATAGTCTTTATCTAAAAAGGCAAAATGTTGAGATAAAGGGAACACTGTAAAATTCTTGTAAATCCTCCTTACATATTCAGCCACAGTTTTAACTTTTATTATTTGTCCAATCCAATATATTGGTAACTTCTTTGAAGTTTTTCTTTCTTTATGAGGGTTCCCATACCGCATACACTTTAACTATTCTACATTAAATTTAATTATTGGATTCCACCAGGACCTTTCTAAGACAGGATACCCTATTTGTTCAAAGGCTTAAAAATGGATCCTAAAACACATGATGAAATTTTGCTGTGTGTGTATTCAAATAAATAAATAGATATACATACATATTCAAAAATATATACATATATATTTGATAATTATAGTCCATCTTCATACATATTTTAAACCATTGCACAAATAAATGATAAGCTTTTCTTTCCCTCAGAACTAAATTTAAAACATGATAAATGTAGGTTAACATGTAGACTTCTAACCTCTCTGCCTTTCAAAATTTTTTCCTCTCCCTGTTTTAATGTATCAAAAGTTTAGTGCACAGCCTTTAAAGATTATTTTTCAGAGCAAATAAAAAAATTCTGAAGTTTACCCTTGTCCCATTTTGTTAGAGATATAATTTGTATCACGGTTTTTTAAACTAGTGAAGTCACATTATTAAGTTTTACTCATGACTAAAGTAATGAAAACTAAGATTTGTTATCCTTGTTCATTTGTATGTTGTTACATTTATATCTATATGTTATGTGTATATGATATTTTTCTACCAGAACACATAAGGGTACTAGATTGACTTGAAAAAAATAAACACTTAAAATCAAGTATATTGTCAGATAAAAGAGTAACCTAGCGCTTTACAGGTTGATGTGACTTCCATAAAAATTTGGTAATGTTATATTGTTGGGTTTTTGTGTTGTTTTTTGTTTTTTTTTAATACTGGGGATTGAACTCTGGACCTTGCACTTAAGAGGCAAGCGGCAGAACCACTGAGCTAAGTCCCTGGCCCATTATTTGTTGGTTTGAAGTAACCATATCTCAAAGTTGTAAACATTAAAGACAATGCAGGCCAAGTTTATGGTTATTTCTGTTAAATGTTTAAGATCATAAAAATGTAAATTTTATCTGAGAAAAAATGTACAGAGGAGAGTACAATACAGTGTCTTCATTACTTTCTCATTGCTAGGACAAGATACCCATCACCCTCAAGTTAAAGAGAAAAGGTTTATTTTAGTTTACAGGTTGTAGAGGTTTCAGTCCATAGTCAACTGGCTCCCAGGCAGGGCAGCATGATAGAGGTGTATGGCAGAGGAGAAACAGTCCATGTCATGGCAGGCAGGAAGCAGCAGCCTTCCTTCTGCTTCCCTTTCTATTCTATGCAGGCTAGAATCCTATTAGTTGGCACTACTTATACCAAGGGTGTCTCTTCTGTCAGTACATCCATTCTATGACAAACTATGATAAACCAGTGAGTGGATCCAGTATCATACACCCATGATCCAGTCACTCCCAAAAGCCTCACCTATGAATGCTTGAAGCTTTCTCGGCATATCTGAATATTAGTCCTAACAGTGTATGATGCTTTCTATGAAGCAAGCACAGCTATTTGACTCTTAGGGTTTAATTCCTGAAATATTTAAAAAATATCCTTTCAAAAAAATAAACTTTGGAAGGAAAAATAAGACAAAAATGTTAACCAATAAATAAGAGACAAAAAGGAAGTTATAAATATGAAGATGTATTTTTAGATAAAATTTTTAAAGAATTTTCTTCAGTTTTTATTTTTTCTTAGTACATGTTTGCAGTGCATAATGACTATATTCCTTGTGAGGATTTGGTACATGTACATAACACATATCAATTCTTTTTTTCATCCACTTCCCACCTGTCTCTCTTCCTCCTTCCATCTTTTAATCCTCTTCACATTTGAAAAAGATCTATCTCGTGCTTCTTATCATCTATCGTTTATTTTTCTTTATTTAAAATAATTTTAAATGAAAAATAATTGTGTGATAAAATACCAATTTTTGCCCTAAAATAAAATAAGTGGTTTATTCCAGAATATATGTATACATGCATATTACCTATATAACATATCAAAAAGGTTTAAGCAAGTCATAGGAAGTTAAAGCAAATCATGATGAAAGATTCCTAAAATATAAACTTTATAAAGGAATTTATATATAGGTTGTGTTGACAAATTAAATTGTCTTTCTAAGATTATACAATAATTACTAGAGATTAGTATTCTAAGTCTGAAATCTATTTCATTTATAATTTAACCATTTTCTAAAATACAGCTTTCTCATATTTTTAAGTTCCCTTTAATTGGTATCTCCCTCTGTTTTTAGTCGGCTCCTGTAATTTCATTTTTCTGACTGCACTACTGTAGCCTGCTATTAAAGCTGTTTTATAGGTGTGACTTGATTCTGTATCTTTGGATTTTTAAAATATATTTAAAATTTTCAACATAACTAGGCTCATGTGTGAGAAATGGAAAGGGTAAATAAGGACCAAAATGGATGACAGATATTGGGAAATAGGAATAAAATTTTCAAATGGGAAGAGGAGCAAGGTAGGTGGGAGGGGGAAAGGAAGGAAGGGAAGAGGAAAAAAAAAATCACATTTTTCTATTGTTTCTAAGACCCATGCATTCTCATGCTTCAGATTTTGGTTTTCTTATTTATGTTCACTAATGTGGTAACTATCATAACCTTGACATATACTCTTGGGTCTGATTATATTCAAGCACATTTTCACCAGATTTTATATTATCTAATTAGGCTTCCCATAAAGAGAAGTAATCACACTATTGGAGATTTTCTTTCACCTTTTCATAATTGGCCTATGAGACAAAGATTTGGGATATTAAAATAATTTTCTATTTTATGTTGTCTTTAAGTTTTTGATTGTTTAGAAAAATCGAGCCTTAAGAAAAATCAGGGATCTGTTTTGTTTGCTAACTTTCTGTATTTACTTATGAAATATTTTAATTATCATTCTGGTGAAATAAATGAATATTATTTCACAGTAACCTGTATTTCTATTTTAGTCACATTTTTTAAACCTTTTAAAGCTTTGTAGCCTCCCTGGGGTCGAAGTTCTAAATTAAGTCTTTGTAACCTGGATAGAATTAATTTTGATGTCATCCCATAGTGACCTTGAACAGTCTCAAAAGGTACATCACTCTTCTTACAGTTTCAGATGATTTTGTGGTAAAAGAGGTCTTCTTGGATAACCCTTTCAGCTAATTAAAGACATTTCAACCTGCTGTAGTGGTTTACAAGATGCACAACAAATCACACCCTCCCCACATGTCCAATTATATTTTAACAGCACATCAACACGCTAGGTACAGTGGCCCATATCTGT